CACAACGGATGCCCTTCCAGCTGCAACCCGTTACTGGGAAACATGCATACACACTCATTCACACACACCACATGTCTATGGACTTTGTGAAAACCAGAGCATCCAGAGCAAACTCACGCGAACACAGGGAGAACATGCAAACTCCACACAGAAATGCCAACTGACCCAGTTGAGGCTCAAACCAGCAACCTTCTTGCTGTGAGGCGATCGTGCTACACTGTGACGCCTCACATATGTGTAATTATTTGAGGTATTAAACTGGTATTGGTGAAGAACTATGGTTACTAAAAGGCACCATTCAGATGTAATGATCTGGGCAACCAAGCATGTATTGTTATAGACACTATGCTTATTTGTCTTAAGAGATGTAAGGCAGGTCCTGTTCATGTAATTTGCTTTAGTCTATCAAGTTGGTATTGGCATGAACAGCTATACCTGTTAACAGGTTTCATATATGTAAAACGGTCCTATTCAGTTAATGGTCTGGCCTATTAGCCAGCTATTAATAAAGATGAATGCACATGATGATGAGCCATTTATTTAAATGAATATGTGACACAGATATTTAAATTTCATTGTTGCAAACACGTTACAGGAGTAAGTGCAGTTGTTGTTGTATGTGATGTTCACCACTGTAATTACACCATAGTCAAACAGAAGTCTGAGAAATGCTATAGTTGGTGTAGGTGGAGCAGGTTAATCACATTAAAAGTTCTGCATTGTGTAGATATAATAGTGAACTCTTGTCATTGAATTATTCTGTATAAACTGCCTATACAATAATTTAACTTGTTATGTAATTATTTTCTAATTATAAATATATAGCTGCATGACAGATTTAATAGTGGACTCCACAAAGGTAAGACCAAAGCTTGAAATCGCATCACGTAAGTGCATGAGACCAATAGAAGATCAAAACATGAGCTATATGGAGCAACCAGTCGCTTTTAGTATCGTCTAATTATATTGTTTTATCCCACTCTTTTTTGCAGCGCTGTAAGAAAGAATTTTGCAAGCACAAACTCTAGTGTGACTGCAGCCCAACTTGCTTTCAGATTAACTATGCCCGGCTGCTATATATATGTATGAGCCTACCTTAGACAGAGTGGGTACATCTAGAAGCTGCTGTGCTGTAGAAGTTTCTGATTAAAATTATGATTTGTGCCTGTACCATAACAGATCTCTCTTGTTGTGATATGTGTCTTGGTAACCTTTAATGTGTTGTTTTTTGCTCATTGATTCGACTGAATTGAGTGAGTGAGTGCATTTTCCCTCCTTCTCCTGGTTAAGAGATAAGGCTATATAGTAGAATTAGTTATATTTCAGATAGTATAAATCAATTATTAGCAACAAAAGACCAACTTCATAATGATTTTAGTGTAAAAGACTTTAATTTGAAGCAAAAAATATGCTGGAGGACGGGATCAGATATATGGCACTTTAATCACACCTGATTGCCTCTGCAGCTTGTACATAACATTTCACAGGACCTGGAATTAACACAAATGAGTTTGAAGTTACCGTGTGTCTCATCCATTTGTGATTAATGTACAAACAATGGCCAAAAGTAGCAAAAAATGGACAGTATGTGATCGCTTTACTGTGTTAAAAAAGGTTTTGTCAAAGGGTATCTTATATATGCTTTTGTGAATGTCTATGCATATTTGTTTGCACAAACACAACTGATAATTAGAGGGAAAAACATCTTTGTTACATATCCGGTGAATAAGAGGCTTTCGAGAAAGATGAGCTGCTCACACATGTTCTGTTCAACTAAAAAACGAAGGAAAGAAAAAAAATTGGCACAAAAACAAGTTAAATTTTGATCATAAAATTTTATAGACACTTTTGGAAAGAAATAATTGATCTGTTAAGAGTGTGTTGACAGTTTACAGGAAGCAGTAATGAGCTGCACGTGCTTTAGGAGAAGTAAAGGACTCTAAACTCACATAAAGAACAAGTTCAGTGATAAATAAATGACTAAAACATTGCTAATATTAATATATTGACTGAACTTAACACAAATAAAACCTCACTGTGAAGATTAGAAATTGTTTCTTTTAACGAATAATGATATATCACAGTATAATAGTATCACTTACATAACTACTATATAAGTGAATGTAGTTGTGTGTGTTGAGACATCAGTGCGGTTTAAGTCTTCAATGCTCATTTGCATCTTTAAACAAAAAACAGCTTGAAAAAAAACTATTAAAATGTGTTTCAAATCAAAATACCTCAACATAGGTGTATCAGCATTAACTACAAAATGCAGCAGCAAAAATAAAAAAAGCTTCCATCAATAGTCCTATAAAACAATAGCAACAAAACAAATGATGATGGCTAAAGTCAACTTATTTTCCCAATACATCATTATTTCTCTGTAAAACTGGTTTGTAAAGCTGCTGAACTTCCCATCCCCCACTGTATGTGTCTTGAGTCTTCACTGCTCCCCACTGCTCATTTGCATCTTTATACCAGCTTTAATGGGGGCCAATTGAGTCTAATCCAATCACGTTCCAGATCCTGTAGCTCAACAGGGTTGTATCTATATATTCTGGGTTCCTAACAGAAACTTCATTGGCTTATTTTGCTAAGTAAAGAGAACAACTTTTGAGGACAAACTACAATTGGGATTATTACCAACAACAACCTACAAAGAAAAACCCACTGAGGTCATTTTTTCATCCCACTTCTTTATTGAAGACTGGAAAGGTAAGTTGCACATTCTGAATTTACACTCAAATAATATCTGAATGCTAAAATTATAAAATGTAAAATCTAAATATGCGTGGATGCATTGTTCAACGTTGTATTACGTTCTTCAGTCATTTTTAAAAGATTTTTTACAACTATTTATTTATTTTTTGTTTGTTTGTTTATTTGGTTATAAATAATGCTTGACAGTCCACTGACAAATGGACTGTAGCCCAAATAAGCCTCCACTTTCACTTTCACTTTCCAATTCATGTCATTCTATATAAAGGTAGGAACCTGGCAGGCAATTTTGGAGAATTTGATGTTTCCCCATTCAAACATACTAAGAGGTGGCAACATCAGTGAATGCAAGTGAATGTGGGTTAAAGCTATGGATGAAGAAATGCAATCGTTTAAAGAAAATGCAACCTCTTACCAACCTACCTGAAGGCAAAGATCCAGTGGGGGGTAAATCCTTTTTTTCAATTAACATAGTGATGGTCTTACAAATACAAATCAGTAAGCAAATAAAGTATAAAGTGGAAAACAAGGAAGCAATGTATCTATAAGTCATCACTAAGAGTAAGTGGGAAAAAAAGTAAGTAGTTGTGTGATATAAAGCTGCGCCACTCCCGCGCTGTGATTCAACTGGAAGAGGTTTGTTTTGAAGCTTTTACACAGATGTAAACCAACTGATTAAAATTTCAGGTTGTTCATTTATTGCTAGTTGTACCTGCTGTTGACAATATTATTTTAACCCTTTATACAACAAAGTACTATTTTACTCACAATAAGGTCTATTGTTTAAATAAGATAGGTTAAACTATATTTGTCCACAAGAGTAAATTCTTGTCTTGTGCAAAAAAGTGCTACAAAGTTGCTGTAAGCAGACAATAAAATAAATAAAGCAAACAAAACGTTTAAGAACATATCTGAATAAAGCAACAGTAATGGGTGTAATAAGTGTTAATGAATGTTTAATTTATTTAATAGCATGATGTCATTCTATTCGAAGTATACATCCTTATATATAAGAAATGTAGTTACGTTACTAGTTTTAATCAGCTCATTTGTGGCTAGTGTTTCTTGCTCAGACTTACCTGATTTGTTTTTGTTAATTACTCTTATATAAAGAAACTGTTCAAACAAGTGTTAAAGATAAGTTTGTTTCTGTTCATTGTTTTGTTCATTTTAAACAGGATAAAGTGACCAAACACAGAGAAAAACTCCTGCTGAAGCGACTGATCTCCACACTGTTATAAAGATGGCGTTTATTAAAGAGGAGAGTGAAGATGTGAAGATTGAAGAAACATTCACAGTCAAACAGGAAGATCTGCAGGAACTAACAGGTTGGTTTTCATTCTCAAAGACCAACTCAGTCATTTTGATCCTCATTCAGATATATTTTAATAATAAGAATACTAAATTAATCCATCTTGCAGCCCTGAGTGTTCGCCTAGTTCTCCTAAATGCACATAAGCACTCATTGAAAGACAGGAATGAACGTTGATCACAATTCCCCTTTTTTTAATAAACTTTTTTTATGGTTTTAAAGTTGTTTCTAGTAGTTGTTACTAGTTCTCACAGATGGTAACTGAGTTAGAATGACATCATAATTATATTAACTAATTGCCAGGGCATTTCCCTATTTAAAACCTGCTGGGTCTTAAAATGTCTTAAATTTCAAAATCTAAAATTTTAGGCCTTAAAAAGTATTAAATTTACTGAAATGTTGTGAGGTCTTAAATCTTTTTTTAAACAAGTCTTTATTTTTCTTTGTTCATGTTTTGTTACCCAATCTGGCCAAAACCCATACAATCACTAACAATCCATCTTAATAAAACTTTAAACTTTTTATTAAAAAAGGTCATTTTAACTCTATTTATCATAATGCTTTAATTATTTTCCTTACAATAACATTTGTTTAAACGTGCTCCATGTGTTTACTGCTGAGGACATCGACCTGGACAGATTGTTGTGCATAGATTTAGTTTATTATAGTTTTTTAAAAAATTTGTTCATTTGTTTTTTACTTTAAAGAAAGTTTATTTTGGAAAAAAGTGTGTGGATACAAGTAGAGCTCTCTTGTTTTTACACAATATTTAAGATCTTTTGCTAAGAAAACTCTAAAATAATTTAATATTATTATTCCATTATTATTTTATTATTAAATGTGTTAAATTATAATATTTTTTGATAGGACAAATAAAAATCTTTTTCATCTGGGGCATTTGAAAAATTTCTTAGTCTAAAATTTCATTCATAAGGGTCTTAAAAATGTCTTAAAACATCTTAAATTTAACTTGGTGAAACCTGCAGAAACCCTGATTTAAAATATGTCAGAAAACGTGGATTCCCCTAATTTAAAATATGCTGAATGAAATGGAGACTAAAATAATTAATTATTATAAAACATTGTACAGTATTCTAAACTATATGTTGTGGGATGACATGAGACAAAACAAACAAACTATAGTGGAACAATAACGTTTAGCATTGCACTGACTACAACTGGCCAACAAACTAGTGTAAAAATATATTTTGCTGCTTAAGAAATGAAGAAAATCAGCATGCTGATGATATGCAAACATTTGAGTGAGAAGTTCTTCAGTATTAACCATATTCTTCATGTACCAGCAGGCGGCGCCATTAGAATCTTTTTGCTTGAGACTTTTTTTTAAATAATTAATTTTTAGATCTTAAAAGTGTTATGCTGCTTAGGCATGGGACGATACCCCTTTTTAAGGTATACCACCTCAACGTTTTTCAAATGTCTCATGGCTTCAAACGTCACCACGTGTTCATTGTGTGTCGGCATTATCCTCTTAGGTGAAAGTCATTTATTAAGTACAAAAATTATTTATGTAGCTTCTTCTACCATTGTGAATTCTGTTTTTACTGTTGATATTTGGCGCCAGTTAATCAGGAAGTGACCATTTTTTTCTCTTTGATTGGTTGGATGGAAACGCTGCTTTATTCGCATATCTTTTATGCGATATTCCAGTTTTGCAAATAAATTTAATTTGCATTTTGGATGGAAACACAGCTATTGCTTACATTTCAGTCACACAAAGAACAAAGTCACTTACGAGACTGGCTTGTCCTTCTTTAGTGAATAATAAGCTTAATTTCACAGACCTTTGACAGGGACATGTACTGTAACTAGATTCATGGGATTATTACTCGTTCTAAAAACTATGTTTTAGTACTGCTTACATTCTTATTATTTAAATGTTTTCATTTATTTTTCAATAGTCTTCAATTTTTCCACAACACACATATTGAACAAAAAAATTTACATGGTACATAGATACAGAAATACTCACACCCAATAAAGAAAAAGGGAGAAAGAGAAAAAAAAATAAGTCAAATAAATAATAAATAAAATAGATAAAACAAATTAAGAAATTTGGGATAAACTCTCACTTACGATATAATAACCCCTGAGCGTTCAATGTAGGATAGGAAAGGCTGCCAAACCTCATAAAACTTTTTAGCAGAGCCTCGGATGGTGTACTTAAGGTCCCCGAGTAAAAGATGTGAAAATTCTAATATCCCATGTTTGTGGCATGGCAGGTTTGTTTGTTTTTTCCACCTGAGAAGAATCAGGCATCTGGCCAATAAAGAAGAATAGGCAAGGATTTCTGTGATTAGGCTGACAGGTACATTTCTTCAGGCACTGTACCAAAAATGGGATGCTGAATCTATAAGAGAGGGAGGGAATAACAGATTTAACAAAACAGGAGCAGAAGGCAATACTTGTTTATTATTAAAGTGAAATCTTAATTGTGACCATGTTCTGAGTGATCCATTAATAACTGGGTTAGTCATAGAATATTGTTTACTCACTGGAATGAAAGCACAAAGTAGTGAATGTAAAGACACTGGATTAGACGTGTGCTGTTCCATCAGTAACCAAAGTGGGGCCTCTTCATTACAGATGTTGGAAAACCAGAACAGTGTTTCTATAGCCAGTTTGTGTAAATTGGCCGTGCAATAACAGGGTATATGCCTAAGCATGCTAATTGGGCTTTAAATTTGCCAGTAACCTGGGTTAAATGCTTCTGGTGAACTGTATGCCAATGCAAAAATCTGCACGTTTAAGGTCTGTTTTCTTTAGAAATCAGCAATCTCCACTGCCCAAGTGATATCCGATATAAAGTGGGTCTCAGATTGTACAAGAAGCACTGCATTACATTACGTTTTTCCCTGCCATGTCTTTATAAAATGAGCATTTATTTTTACCCCGGTATATTAAATTGAGCTTCTGCACTAGCCTGCTGATTCTGGCCAGCCGGCCACCCCTGCTCTACTCATTTCACACTGCAACCGTTCAGTCAACTTTTCTTTCTCAAGCACACCACATAATGCTGCCCTCTTCAACTCTCCTCCTCTTCCTTTATACTCTCACTAATTTCCTTTGCCATCCCATGGGTGAAGACCAATTAAACAATGTTGATGTTGTAAACTTCTAGGAGCCCCAAAAACTGGGGGGTACATTCGGTTGTCTTCAAAGCAGAATCCTTTTAACATGAAGAACTCAACGTGGCGTCATCAAAAGCAAACTCTAAACTGCACAGCAAACACTACATTTATACATTTTACAGCATGTAGGTTGGGTCAGATGCAAATGAAGTGTTAAACTGCTTTTTCAGTCCTGGTCTCATCATGTTCTGGAGACAGAAACCACCTAACCAGTTGACCGAAAAAAGAAAACAAGTTACACAGCCGCGCTGTGAAACTAACACTTTGCATTACTTTTAAATATAAATTTAAATTACCACACTGTCGTCACAGAAAACACCAACAATCATAAATGCATGATTATATGCTGTCATGGCTTTGCAATGAAAACAATGTTTTTATAATAGAGGCCAATGGAGAAAAAACAGACATGAATATAACGAAAAAAGTAAATTTGCCCAGTGTATTGAGTTTTTTTTTTATAAGCATTTACCCAGAATATGTCAAAATAAGATGTTCCCAAATATCAGTTAATTTGCTGAAACAGAGAAAGTTTTGGTCAAACTAAGCCTCAAAATCACCCCAGAATTGATGATAAAGACCCAACAGCACACAATGTGAAAGGTGCACATTCTAGCCTTTATGCAGATGCTCTACAGATGTAGATGTAATCGGTACATGTCTGCGAGGCAAATATTCAGCTGTTTGTTTAGCTTTTACCTCAGAACTTTTTTTCTGATGCATTTACCAGTCAGGTACAGAATGAACAAGTATTTCCTGTCTGCTTTACAAATTTTAGGAAAAAAAAAATCTTATTATGAATATATACAAATAAATATAGGCCATTTACATCTTTCAAATCTGTGTCTTATCAATATGACCAAAATGACTTTTATAATCAATTATGTAAGGAACTCTGAAAACTGGGCTGACACGGTTTCAATTTACTATAACTTCTATGTTAAGTGGCTTTGACACAATATACATTGTAAAAGCACTAGATAAATAAAGATTAATTGAATCTGCTAAATCTGTACAGGTTGATGGACCAAACATAAAATGATCTGATTTATTTACATTTAATGTGCATCAAAATTACAGTGTGTAGCCAATGTTTCCAGTGTCTTTTCACTTTTCAGCTTTTGATGAGTTTTTAAGACTTAATGTTTGTTTTTTCAGACCTAATTAAAGAGAATGAGGGGAGTAAAGAGGAGGAACATCATGTCAAAATTGAGGAAAAAACTAATTTACAGACTGATGTTATTTTGAAAAGGAGAGACAAGAATCGTTTCACCTGCACCTGCCCTCAGTGTGGAAAGAGTTTGGCAAGCAAAAGCAAACTTAAGATTCACATGATGATCCACACTGGAGAGAAACCATTCACATGCACTCAGTGTGGGAAGAGTTTCAACCAATCATCATCCTTTATTCAACACACGAGGATCCACACTGGAGAGAAACCATTCACATGCACTCAGTGTGGGAAGAGTTTTAACTGCTCATCACACCTTAATGACCACATGATGATCCACACTGGAGAGAAACCATTCGCATGCACTCAGTGTGGAAAGAGTTTCCGCCAATCATCATCCCTTAATCAACACACTAGGATCCACACTGGAGAGAGACCATTCACATGCACTCAGTGTGGGAGGAGTTTTAAATGCTCATCACACCTTAACCACCACACGATGATCCACACTGGAGAGAAACCATTTACATGCACTCAGTGTGGGAAGAGTTTCCGCCAATCATCATCCTTTAATAAACACATGAGGATCCACACTGGAGAGAAACCATTCACATGCACTCAGTGTGGGAAGAGTTTTAACTGCTCATCACAAATTAATGAACACATGAGGATCCACACTGGAAAGAAACCATTCACATGCACTCAGTGTGGGAAAAGTTTCAGTCAGTCATCATACCTAAATAGACACACAAGGATCCACACTGGAGAGAAGCCATTCACATGTACACTGTGTGGGAAAAGTTTTAACCGCTCATCACACCTTAATAAACACATGAGGATCCACACTGGAGAGAAACCATTCACATGCACTCAGTGTGGGAAGAGTTTCTGCCAAACATCATCCCTTAATAAACACATAAGGATCCACACTGGAGAGTAACCATTCACGTGCACTCAGTGTGGAAAGAGTTGCAGCGAATCAACATCCCTTAATCTACACATGATGCACCACACTGGAGAGAAACCATTCACTTGCACTTAAGCCGTGGTCACACTGGACTTTTCTCTCCATAGACTTCCATCAAGTGTGCCGCAAGCCTGCGTTTGAGTGAAGGTCTTGGCCGTTAGATCGCCCCCTGGGGGCTGGCTGCAGTACAAGTCAAAAAGCCCGCCTCCTCCGTGTCAATGACTCGAGACTTGAGCCCAAATAAAAAAATTAATTACACTTGCAAAAAAATTTCCTGAAAGATAGTTCTGGTCGATTAAGGCACTGGTCATTGTGCTGAAATAGGTGCAGATCCTCATTTTTGTAAACAGTTTGTTTTTAGCTGTAATTTAATGCTGGGCGTGTCATCGTGATTGACAGCTGTGATTGACAGCTTCTCAAAGCAGACCGTCTGAGCTTCGGCAGGAGACTGAAATGTTATTATTCGATTTCTGTGTTATTTTACCATGCCAAAATGAGTTCAGCAGTAAACTATAGTTTCTGACATACATGATCCTGGTGGAACACTGTTTATTAGCTAAGGTCAGGGCTTTTTTTCGGGCTTTATTAGTTTGCTTATACACGCCTAGCCACCCAGATAGCAAAATACACTCCGGCCAGTTCCGGCTAGATTCTCGCCTGCCGGAGACTTACCCCTCAGACTGACTACTT